GACTTTTGGGGGAGGCCGTAGAGGAGGGAGTTACAGTAATCGAGGCGGGAAGTGACAAGGCTGTGTACAAGGATAGCGGCGGTGTGAGGGGGAAGGGAGGGGCGGAGTTGTTGATGTTGCGGAGGTGGAAATGTTGCGGAGGTGGAAATAAGCTGTGCGGGTTAAAGAGTTTATGTGAGCCTGATAAGAGAGTGTGCTGTCAAGGATGACATAAGTGAGTGGATTGACTGGAGGCTGAGGACAGGATACATTTAAATCTACTGCAATTGGTACGTTTGCGAATAAATACTTTAACCCATTTGGTCTGTCTTTATAAGAATTCATTTTGATGAATATCGAGTTATATTTTTGAAGAAGCTGAGCTCAGCACACAATACAGGCAGTTGGCTGACGATGTTATTGTGAAGTTGCATCCTGACACCTTAAGTCCTCTGTTGTCAGAACAAGATCATGTGCAGAGCAGACCATTACAGGACAGTGTACCCTCCAACAATCTACTTGCTATTTTGAATAGACAAAATGAGATCTCATCTATGCTTCTCCAACAACAACAATTGTGTTTATTGCCCCCCAAAAGTGTTACCATCTTTGATAGTTTAGGTCAATCATGAGCTCTTTTAAACAGAACATTGAAAAGAAGACAGACAATGCACAAGACAGATTATTTTATTTGGAACAGTGGCAAGTGGCAAGCTAGGGACTTAGTAAGAAGTTGTCAGCACATAGTGGAAGATCAATGTTATCTCGGGCCAAGCCCTTGCTGCACGAACATTTTGGTAACTAATACAGAATTTCCACTGCCCACATTGTGAAAGTCCTCAACTGGCAAAGCATAGGGCCTGAAGACACTAAAGCCTTAAATGACTTTGCACTATATCTCAAAGGCTGCTGTAAGGTCATGACAAAACTAAACTACATGGAGGAACTAAACACAGCATCTACTTTTCTATTTTACAAGCCATTGTTATGAAATTGCCCTACAAGTTGCAGGACAATTGGCAGACTAAGGTACAAGAGAAGCTGGAGACCAACAGCCCAATCACGTTCACAGAGCTTGTACAGTTCATTGAGAAACAGGGTAAGATATGCTACAATCCAATATTTGGACACATACAAGAATCAATGGTGAGTAGGAATAAAAGACCCAATGCAAGTAAGCCACCTTCTAGGCCCAAGTTTATTATGCAAACATTGTGGTAGCACTAAGCACTCCAGTGGCTCCAAGCATGAACAGTGATGTGAAACCTGCATGTCTCTACTGTGATGGTGCTCACAGTATAGAGTATTGTTCAGACTTTAAGAGGAAAACACACAGGGAGAAGTTGAACCTTTTAAAAGAAAAAGGACTCTGCTTTAGGTGTTTGTTTAAAAGACACTTAAGAAGAGACCGCAAAGGACATCTATCATGTGATATCTGCGACCAAAGGCATCCCACTGTACTACACATCAACTTTCAGGTTAAAGGTGAGAACCCCAAGTCAGAGCAATTATACCAAGTCACAGAGGTAGTGTCAAAGGCGTGTGGGCATAATGGGGCCGGAAAGTCTATATGTGCACTGTCAATTCTACCTGTGCAAATGAAGTTTGCCAAAGGCTACAGGATCATACCAACTTTAGCTCTTCTCGATCCGGGCAGTTCAGCCACCTTCTGTACAGAGAGGTTGGCACAGAGGTAAGGTATAGATAGAAAACTAACTGTGTTACTGAGAACAGTGGCACAAGAGAGGCCCATCAAGAGTATGTTAGCTTTAAGAATAGAAGTGAGTGAGCTTAAAGACCACATTCATGCCCTTGCTTGAAGTCTATACTCAAAACTCTATGCCAGTGACAAAGGTCAACATTCCAACACAGGAGGATTTAAAGAAATGGCCTTATCTCAGTAAAGTTCAGTTACCACAAATTGACTCTGACGTTTAAATTCTTATTGGAATAGAACCTTGGCAGGTGATCACCTCACAAAAGGATGGACCCTATGCAGTAAGAACCCTATTAGGCTGGGTGATAAACGGTCCATTGGGAGGAGGATGCAGTAAGGGCGTGGAGATGGCTACAATGACTGCCAAAGGGATCTCCTCGATTGACCTGCAAAAGCTACTGGTGATTCAATATAACACTGATTTCAATTAAAAAGTGTATGAGGAAAGAAGTGAAATGTCGGTTGATGACAAAAAAAATCCTGAACATTGCCAGTGAATCTGTCAGTGTCAAAGAACTTTTGCATTAATCTACCTTTCAAAGCAGACAGCATCATGATGCCCAACAACCAAGTCGTTGCAGAACAGTGCCTCTTGAATCTGAAGAGAAAGTTCAAAAGAGATCCAAACTATCAAAGGGAGTACACAGAGTTTCTTAGTGATGTCATCCATAAGGGCTATGCTGAAGTTGTTCCCCAGGAACAAGTAAAAGGAACAGAGGGGAAAGTTTGTACATCCCTCATCATGGGGTGAACCACCCCAATAAGAGAACAATCAGAGTAGTATTTGATTGTGGTGTGGTTTTTCAGGGAACATCCCTTAACTCTGAACTACTCCAGGGCCCAAATTGGATAAACACACAGATAGGAGTGCTTACAAGTTTTAGACAAGAGCCAATAGCAATGATAGCTGATATACAGGCTGTTTCACCAAGTCAAGGTGACAAAAGAAAACACTGATTTCTTGCGCTTTTAATGGTGGCCACAAGGAAATGTGGATGTGAATTCCGAGTATTAGAATTAGAATGGACACAAGATCTGTGAAAATAAACACAGAAGACTCTGTGACAGCGGAGGATTTGAAAAAGGCGGAAAATGCAATCATTTCCTATGTTCAGAGGCCAACATTTTCAGAGGAAATCAGCAACCTACAAGATGGGAGATCCAATGTTAAAAGGGAAAGCAGCATCTACAGACTGGTGCTGGATGAAGGAGTCCTCAAAGTCGGTGGCCGCCTGAGAAGAACATCAATGCCAGAGGAAAGAAAACCCCCTGCCATCCATTAAAGAATGTGTACAAAAAATAAAATAAGGAAAAACTAAAACAATATCTTGTTCCCGCTCCAACTGGGTGCTTAGCTGTGGCTAATTAGTGCTGTGGCTAATTAGCACTGTGGCTAAATAGCATTGTAACTTTGTGATCAGGTTAATATTACAGAAAACGTTTTCAGGAAGCACTTTAAAAACAGGAAGCCATCAAAATAAAAGCCTCAAGAAATTATTTTCTTGCTTAACAGACACAAGGGTCATTTACAGTGTGTGTGTGTGTGTGTGTGTACATATGTTTGTGCTACAACTACATAAATGTCTTTTTAGCAGTGGATTTGCAGACATAACACAGATTTCCCCAAAGAAACTGATGACTAATTTGAAGCAAAGAGGCAGATTTACATTCAGAATCCTGGTGACACAAATACTGTTTTACACATGGAAGATTCACAGCATGCATACTAAATTGAATTAGATAGATTAAAACATACATACACTTACGCATACAACATAGCAGGATGTTCAATTTTATTTCAAACGACAATCTGCCATTGACCACATTTGTGCCCTTTTGGATTTCTGCCTCACCACCACTTACTTCCAGTTCAACGAGTCCTTCTACAGACAGAAGCATGGCTGCGCTATGGGCTCTCCTGTGTCTCCCATAATGGTGAATCTCTACATGGAGGAAGTGGAGAGCAGCGCTCTACACTCCTACGTGGGTACATCACCCAGCCACTGATTCCGATATGTGGACGACACTTGGGTCAAAATCAAGGTCCATGAGGTCAACAATTTCACAGACCACATCAACGCGGCGGCCAGGAACATCAAGTTCACCAGAGAAGATGTGAAAAACAACAGTCTTGCATTCGTGGACAGTGCACATCTCAGAGGACAGACAACTCAACATAGAGGTGTACAGGAAACCAACCCACACAGACCAGTATCTCCGTTTTGACTCACACCACCCACTGGAGCACAAATTAGCGTCATCAGAACCCTACAGTCACGGGCAGACACCATTCCCACCACCAACAGAGGTAAGATGAGAGAACAGGGACACATTATGACCACTCTCAAGACCTGTGGCTATCCCAGAAGTGATTTTTTAAAAACGAACAAAAAGATGCCCACAAAGAGGGAGGACAACAGGAGGAAGGGGAATGTCGTCATTCCATACATTTCAGGAGTTTCTCAAAAACTTAGGAGGATCTTTAACCAACACCAGATCCCCATACACTTGGTAACCTGGCAACACAAAGACAAAAACTGGTTCATCCCAAAGACAAGACTCCAAGAAACAAGCTGGACAATGTGGTTTATGCCGTTCAGTGCAGTGAGTAGTGTACGGACCTGTACATTGGGGAGACTAAACAACCACTACACAGGCGCATGGCCCAACACAGGAGGACCAACTCCTCAGGACAGGACTCAGCTGTTCACACACACCTCAAGAACAGAACACATTCCTTTGAGGACAACAATGTGCATATTTTGGCCAGGGAAGACAGATGGTTTGAGAGAGGGGTAAAAGAAGCCATTTTTGTCAACCTGAAAAAAACATCACTCAAAAGAGGAGGTGGACTCAGACACAACCTCATACACAGCACGTTTAGGAACAATACCCAAAAGATTCACCTAAGTTTCACATAACAAAGAGGCAGGTGACCGAAACCGTTCTGATGAGGACCACAACGACCCATCAGACTCTTAACAACTGTTTACACTTTCACAGTTGACCCCAAGGCCCCACCCAACAGGGTGGACCTCAAGTAGCTTTATTCTTTCACACCTAGAGTATATATTTGCTGTACTCCACACCACCAGTTAGAACTGAAGAAGCCTCTTGGACGAGAGGTGAAACATCTTCTTTTAGAAAATTCACGTCCAGTTGTGTAACAGAACTTTTTAAACTTGACAATCTGTTCAATTGTTGCTGAGTAGTTAGGATTGTGGATCCCACTTCTTTACAGACATGTAAAGAAGTTCCAGCATGTATGCATGTCCTACTGTGTATTGATGAGGGGGGGACCTACCTTCAGCACAGTAACACCGAGGCCCCGCCAGGCTACTAGTACAAGTGGCTCCATTTTTGCAGGGATGAGAGAGACAATGGTTGACAAGCAGCTGGCAGCGTTCACCTTCATAACCTAAGAGACACAGAATTAAGTTGTCTCCCAAAAGAAATTAGAAATTGCATTCAACAATGCTGATGTAATAGATATAACATTACCTGCCCCTGAAGATATATTGCTCCCCAACCAAGAATCATAAACTATGAAATACTTGCCTCCTAGATCAGTGGTTCTCAAACTGTGGTACGCGTACCACCAGTAGTATGTGAGTGCTCTCTAGTGGTACATGGGGAAAATTCGTATTTTTTACATTTACATTTTCAATTGAATAAATCTGAATCATACCATGCACAATTAATACAACATTTAGAAAAAATGTGTAGCTACTTGTGAGATTATGAAATAGCATGTCTGGTCTTTTTATTTATTTACTTGTTTGTTTTTTTGCTGCAATGCAAGTCTGTTGCTCACAAGCACAGGCAGCACGGAATCACTTGCAAGTTGAACGTGGAATGAGCAGGGGAATTCTAATGTTGGTCATCATGGTGGTACTCAGAGAGCTCAATGTTTTCTCAGGTGGTACAGTATAAAAAGTTTGAGAACCACTGTCCTAGAGAATTGATATGCCCTAGGTTTTATTTAGTTCTCTGAAAATGTTCATTGTCTAACTGAATTAAAAGGACTCGTGAAGGTAAACAAAAAATAAAGGACACAAGGGGTAAAAAGGATGAGCATAGTTTTAATAATATCAAATGTTTGTGGCCGTTTGTTCAACAAAACAAAAGACAATCCTTAGAAAAACAGATATTATCTCTTTGTGATGTTATTGAGACTAAATCTCTGACTTAAAACACAGCAATTAATGATTGCATGTGAGACACGCTTTCCCCTGGAGGGCGTTTGAGTACTTAGGGGAGGCATAAAACAATAAAAAATTGTTTGATTACAATGGGATTATTGTCATGTATCTTCTTCAATTTTCTTTCTTTCTTCAATAACTTTTTGGTTATTTGACATTGATGCTATATATTTATGTTATGTTGGTATCAAAAGATAGAAATTAAGGACACTTAAGAACTAGAGTGTTCATGTGATTTTACATATTTATGGTGTTGTAAAATCAATTAATGTATATTAATCATGATAATTGTAATATTGTGATAAATCTTCTGACAATAACCATACCCAGGAAATCTATAATCATGACATCCCTATATTGCAGACACATGCTGTTTATTTTAAACTAAAATATTTACATAATAAACTGATTATGATGCTGTATAGGAAAACACACACACAGACCTGGAGGGCAGCTACATGTGTAGCTGCGTCCTTGGCTTCCCTGCTTTACATCAGCACAGCTGCCGTTGTTGAGACAAGGTGGATGGAGACAGGCATCATATTCCTCACAGAAGATTCCAGTGTAGCTATCATCGCAATCACAGAAGAAAGTGCTCTGCACAGAACAAATGCACGGGTGGTTGAACTTTAACCACCAGTTGTGTTTAATACTTAATTGTGCATCCTGTGGCAGATTTAATGACATAACTACTGTAATGAATCAGGAATGCTGATGATTGACTTCACCTGTAATGCGGTAAACAGGAAGGACGAAAAATGTATCTACATCAGATTAGATTTTTATTTCTCCAGCACATACACAGTAAGTCACTGCTGCAACATGGTTCTTTGTAGAATTCATGTCAAAATGTGGGAATATCATCAGCCTCAATTAAACTTTTAAAAAAAGATCTGCACTGAATTATTTAAATGGCAAACCCTTTTAGACTCATTACCAGAAATGTTAATGATCAAGCACTCTTTTTGATTCACATTTTCCTACAAATTCAGCTATTTTTGGGATTTTGCAAATTCAAAAAACAAATGCATCTTAGCTCGAAAGTAAAACAGTCTCCAGTGCATGAGTCACCAAACTCCACTGCAGTCACTACGTGATGTTTGTCAATATCATCAATTGTTTATTTAGTAGAGTTATTCAGATTCAGTAAACTTTATTTATCCACGTAGGGCCATTGAGAGTGTAGGGAGTGGTAAATCAGGTAAAGAATTTTGAAAAAAGGATTACAATATAGAAAAGTCATTACAAAATGTTAGTGAATTAACATTGCAGTATATCTCACCTCCGACGGCTGAGTTAAACATTTGCCTTTTCCAGAGCACTGAGGGTCACTGAAGCTGCTGCCGGGCTCCACGCAACTGCTGGCCTTTACAGTCAGGTTCAGGCGCAAAATGACCTCTGGTGAAGTGTGGGCGGCAACTCGCAACACACCTATTATTGAAGGGAAGAGTGTAACAAACTGTTTACTTATTTGTAGCCGCACTAGTCACACATAAAAACAGATGTGAAACACACACATCTACCTGCTGTTATTTGACTTTCTCTTCAATTTAAATATTGATTTTTTTAACATTTAGAAATGACAATTTACCTTATAAGATAAACAAATCTATCATGATTAACCACGACGGATTCCGATTACAATCAATCTTAATCTTTAATAATCAATTAATACTATTGTAAAATTGCAGTGACTCAAACCAAGGTTTTTGACAATTTTTTGTCAAAAATCACAACTTAGACAAGTTTGGGACAGGGTGCACGTGTTGTGACCGTGGACATGTCAGCTTTCAACTCATCCAATCAGAGAGCAGACAGAAACAATTACAGTAATATCTGACCAACCAGTCTTTAGCCCAGTAACTTTGAATGCTGCACCTTCAGAATAACTGCAGGATATACGTATAGAATATTGATGTTTACTGAATGCCATGTCACACACACCTTTAGGTAGTTCCAGACACCTGAAATCAAAACATACTAGTTTGTACACAGTATGAGTCACGCATATTTATTATTAGCCACAGAGCAGCAAGAAAACAATTCCTGTAGTTTGACCTATGTTTTCCTCTACCTCATTTTCCTTATTACTCCACCTCCGTGCTGCTTCCCTTTCTCTTGTCCGTCTCTCTTCTTAGCTCCATCTTTCAACATCATTTTTCCTTCCTCTAATGTCCTCTTTAATTAGGTCCCCAATGTCATCTGCCCCACCCTCCCACACACTCCATCTCTCTCTGTGATGAAGCAAGACTGCTTTACCACAAACATGTCAAGGTCAGACAGGGAGTGAAATATCATTAGGTATAAACTGTATATATATATATATGAGAGCTAAGGAGGCAGCTCCATGAGTCCGCACGGTGAGTGGCGTCATGATAGGGACAGACAACACAGACTTCCTCACGTGCGCCATTATGGGAGTCAGTGGCACTGGACACCACAGGAAGTAGTGGGAGTTTTCGCAGAAACATGGATGAAGTCTTCTTTTTACCTTATCTGCTGTGTCAACCTTTTGGGGATAAATAATGTACTATCCTATCCTATTTTCAAAACAAACAAGCAAATGCTACTGCTGGCTTAAATCAGTTTACCAGACACATTGCTTCAGCATTTCGCTTGTCAGAGGTCAAGCTTGAAGGACTGTGTTTACATTGTAACTGTTGCTGAGATGTATGCTACAACAGTAAGCAACAGACTTTTACAAATTAAAAGCCAATGAGCAATTACAATAATATAAGAAATAATACAAAACTGCGTTAATGTGTGATAAAATAATTGACGTTAATAAAGTAATGAATGAATGCGATAAGAATGCTTTAAGTTGCCCAGCCCTAACAAAAATAAATATCCCACAAGTATAACTATTCCAGAAAAATACTTCAGATGTCATACTTATCCTAACAATATGCAAATACTGTATTTATATTAAGAATGCAAAGTTTTTTAAGAACTTGTGATTTCTGTCACATGGCTAATACAGTATACATATATAAATATATATATATCTTAACTATAACTTGTAGATGAAACAGAAAATGAGAAAATGAGAACATAATTAATTCAAATGATCAAGTCACAGGTCTGTGTCAGCGAGCGCAGGCTTCTTACTTAGAAAATAGTTCTGTCCTAGAGGCAGCAGGCGGTCTGACACCACCAGCCCATCAGAAGCCCGCAGAAACCAAGCTGTGGAGCCGTTCAAATTAGACGAACGAGTGAAGCCCTCTTCATTCACGCGCCAAAGCACAGAAGCGCCACTGGTATTCACCACCAATCTGGTAGGAGAGGTAGGATGGAGGAAGAAGACAGGGCAGAAAGAACCTGATGAGTGCGGACACTAGGCATGATGGGTAATAATTCTGACATCATCTCTTCTCACGACCATCCCTCTGTATTAATCCAAGACTGGGTAAAATTAGACCAATTAGACCAGATGACCTGTGTTTTATTGCTCCACGGTTCCTTCTTTATTTTTAGTAAGTTTTAATTAAAATTTAGTAAGTTTTTTTTGTCATTGTGAATGTGTATTTATAAAGATCTTTAGTGCCCGCTGCTTTTCACTCCTTAATACAGTTGTTTTATAATTTTAACTTTCAGTGGTTGATGATCTTTTTTCTTCAAGGGACTGTGGTAAGTAAGAAGAAGAGACAGTGGAAAATAAAAATAATAAATGTTGTCATACTTTCATTCAACCAGAAAAAACCAACATTTATATATTATACATCTGTCTATGGATGTATGTTAGTTTTTTAGTCATTGTGAAATCCCCTGAAAACCTGTTTCCAGACTATAAGTCGCACCTTTTTTCATCCTTTGGCTGGGTTTGGGATTTACTCAGGTGCGACTTATACAGTGGGGCTTCAAGAAACGAGCTACCTGAAATACAAAATAATTTCAAGTTACGAGTAAGGAACCTTTGCAATATTTTCCTCGTGTTACAAGTAAACAGTTATGACTGCTCGACCAAGTTCAATTTTCTTGGTTCTTGGTTATTTTACCCCTCGCTTTATTTCTCTCTTTTCCTTTCTGTCCCTCTCTCTCTCACTCTCTCTCCCTATCTCTCTAGTGCATGCCTGAGCATGAGTGTGGTGTGTGAGCTGAGAGCGTACTTTGCAGTAGCAAGTGTTTTTTCAACCTTTTTTTTTTCTTCTTCTATGATTTGAAGTGTGTTGTGAGTTGTATCACACTAGTGATGCTTTTGTTCCCAGCCAGTATGCTTGTGGACGGTAGAGCCGAGTTTGAGAAGCTGAGGTCAGTTCAGCTGTTAAAGAGGTGGTGGGATACGGCAGTGTGAAGTGTGCTTGCGCCATAACTGTAGCTGTAGTGATTTGCTTAGATAGCACAGACAAAGTCTCAACAGTAGTCGAGTCTGATGTAGTCGTTCAGGACACGTTCATCCTTGTTCTTCCACTAGTTAATCCCAGTAAAAAGATTACCATCTCCAATGCCTCTTGCCCTTTTATAAAAAGTGATACTTTAGCCAAAGATTATTGTTATCACGGCATGTGTCTCCGATTTAAATGGTGTCTTTCAGGTGGAAATCTCCTCTGCTTTCACATGTTGTGTGTCACCGCAGACAAGCATACATGGTTCTAAAGGATAACGCAAACAATCTGTACAGTCCAAACCAATAAATAATTGACAGAAAATTCCAATTCTTTGAACTTGGACCCTTTATTGGTCCCTCTGAACAAACACAAAAAAATTCAAATATAATTTTCTATTTCAAATCTTCTCAATTTGTATCATATTTGATACATTGAGTCACAATGCTCAAAGATGCTTTTTTCCTGAACAAACAAAAACATAATAAAACACAGTAATGAAAAATCCACTTATGGAACTGGCTGGGTGGAAGTCTGGAAAACATATTATATATATTTATATTATATACATTATATTTACATATATAAAATATATTTTTTTATATATAATGTATTAATAAGTGGCGCTTTGGCCCAGAGGCAATGTCTCTGTCATTGGTGTGGAACCCCAGGGTTCACCTCCTGGGCAAGTTCGAATCCCGGTTA